TGTCCACTTTTGTAAGGCTTGTTGCTTTAAGCCGATTCAAGAATCCCCTCCCTCCAGCTGGCATAATTGTTTGCATCGCATATCTTCCCACTTGGATACCATCTCCATTCGTATCTCTACCCACATGTGCATTCCAGTCTCCCAATATATAATACTGCTCTCCCACGTCCTTTTGTAGTTGCTCGCATAGTAGTCGAACCGATCGGTCGGCCTCGTCTAAGTTGGCCGCACCACTTCCTGAAGGTAAATATGCAGATGCCAATCCTAAAATATCACCATTTTTTATCCCAAGAATAATGCCGCATGCTCTGTCACTCGTATACAGAAACTTCTCTCCAGCCGTTTGCCACGAAATACGAGCTCCCATATTCAGAAGAAACCCAACTCTCCCTGCCACAATCAACGTAAACTCCTCCACGTAGATGAGTTCCCGAACTCCTAGTGCACTGGTGTCACCACGAAGCTCAGTCAAGCAAAGTACATCCCACGATTGCACGGGCATAACTTCCAGCAAGCTCCTCAGCTTGAGGCGGTTGTCGATTCTCGACCAGTCCATTCCTTGAGTATTCACTGTCGCACACCTGGAGCGCTGTTCGCTCACTAGTTCGTGTGCTCTCGAACTTCGATGCCTATGACGAATTCTACCTCGCAGGCGCCCCCGATATGTTTCATAGGGCCTGATACAACACGGCCGTGATGAGGTACGTGCACAAAAATGGCTGTCAGTCGACCAATGAGTTTGTGACCGCAACGCGGCCTCCGCTACTCCATTCTGCCGACGAAAGAGATGGAGTAGCCGATGTCCCCATACAATCTCCAATTGTAACTTTGGTCGCTGCAGTATTTCTCGAACAACTTGTGGTTCCTGCTCTGCGTGCGCTTCACCCTGACCCAAATGAGGGAGTTACCGTTCAGGGAATCCTAGACTTCTGCTGTCGTCATCATCCTGCTCCTCTTCTCCTCCTCCTCCTCCGCCTCCTCCTCCTCTCTCCTCTCTCCTCTCTCCTCTCTCCTCTCTCCTCCTCCTCCTGATCCTGCTCCTCCTCCTCCTCCAACTCCTCCTGTTCCTCCTCCTCCTCTTCTCTCCGCCTCTTCTCTCCTCCTCTCTCCTCCTCTCCCCTCCTCTCTCCTCCTCCTCCTCCTCCAGCTCCTCCTCTCTCCTCCTCTCTCCTCCTCTCTCCTACTCCTCTCTCCTCTCTCCTCCTCCTCCTCCTCCTCTCCTCCTCTCCTCCTGCTCCTCCTCCTCCTCCTCCTCCTGTTTCTCCTGCTCCTCCTCCTCCTCCTCCTCCTCCTCCTCCTCCTCCTCCTCTTCCTCCTCTCTCCTTCCTCCTCCTCTCCTCCTCTGTCCTCCTCCTCTCTTTCCTCCTCTCTCCTCCTCTCTCCTCTCTCCTCCTCTCTCCTCCTCTCCTCCTCTTCCTCCTCTCTCCTCCTCTCTCTCTCCTTCTCCTCTCCTTCTCCTCTCTCCTTCTCCTCTCTCCTTCTCATCATCCTCCTCCTCCTCCTCCTCCTCCTCCTCCTCCTGGAGACCCCCTCACGTTGTGAAAAAAAACGGCGCCGGGAAGTTTCTCGCTGTGCTCGGCCTCTGGGTGATTTGAAATTCTACCCGTCCCTGGGGCCTCCAAGAAACGGCGCGCGAGGAACACAGGGTCCCCCCGGGCAGGGGTCGAGACCTCCAGGGGTCGACGCTGCGAAAACAGCACGACGTCGGGGGTCTGGGACTGGAAACGGTAGACGAGCGCTTCCACGACTCGCAAAAGAACTACTCGCGAATGGCTCAGATCCGCCGCAGGGGATCTACGAGACTTTGACGAACGAATAACACGCACCCATACCCATAGAGAGGACGGTGCGTGTTGTCAGATGGGGGTCCCCGCTCGAACGGGAGCCTCCCCCGCGGTCCGACAACCCGCACCCATACCCATAGCAAGTCCTCCTCCCGCCGACCCCCCTATGGGTATGGGTGTGTGTTGTCCGTTCGTCAGACTTTCCATCGAAGCAAACACATGCTTTCGGACGTTGCGAGCAGGTAGTGGAACGCGCTTGGCGGAAACGGGTCCTTGGCCCCAGGGCTTCTCCTCTCCTGGATCACCGCCCCCCTCCCGGAGCATCTCCCGACGGCCCCGAGGCCCGAGGAGGAGGCCCCGACGACGGCCGAGGGCGGCGAGCCGTCGTCGGGTGCCGACTCCCCCAGGGACCCGTCTCCTTCGTGCTGACTCTGCAACCTCCTCCTCCTCCTCCTCCTCCTCCTCCTCCTCCTCCTCCTCTCTCCTCCTCTCTCCTCCTCTCTCCTCCTCTCTCCTCCTCTCTCCTCCTGTCTCCCCCTCTCTCCTCCTCTCTCCTCCTCTCTCCTTCTCTCTCCTCCTCTCTCCTCCTCTCTCCTCCGTCTCCTTCGTGCTGACTCCGCAACCACCTCCCTGGGGGTGCACCGACCGAGGACACTTCCTTTCTTGCGCTCGACAGTGGGTTCGGCGATGTATCGCCGAGAGGTCGGCGACACGCCCCCGAAACCGAAGCCGCTGAAGAACATAACACCAGAACCATCAACTTGTGGCGCTCCGCGCGGATTTCCTGGATCTGTGCCGGACCCCCCCCCCTCTGGCGCGCGGAGCGCGCCAGGGGCGGCGCCGGAGGCGCCGCTGGGGGGCCCAGCGCGGATCTAAGAAATCCGCGCGGAGCACCACCAATTTTGTTTATGGCGTTTGTTTTCCTCTTCGACATGAGAACGACATGAGAAAGGTTAGCCTGACTCTGGGTGTCTTGATAAGCGTGGGAGGGTACCCCCCCCAACGGGGGTCAACCTCGCAAAGTCGTCGCGCCGCGACGGGGGTCGGAGCGCCTTCGGCGCGCGGTGGCTGCCCGCAACGGGGGTCGATGTGGGGCAGTCGGCGGGGGTGACGCCCCCCCGACGCTAATTAATAAACTCGGTGTACGTATTTAGAGGCCTCTTGGGTGAGGTCCGAGTAGATGTGGTCGGCGGATTGCACCGCATCGCCGATGTATCGCCGATGCATCCGCGATGCATCGGCGACGTCGGCGATGCCCCAGCGACATCGGCGTGAAGAAAATCGGGCTGCACGTCGAGCCGCATCGCCGATGCATCGGTGATGCATCGGCGATGCGTCGCGATCCTCCGACCCCATCTGCTCCGACCCAGGATAGACCAATTGGACATGAAAGGATCTCGGCCCCAAAAAAAATCAAGGAACTTTCGAAGGCTTCGAAATGAACCATGTGTGGAGTACTGCCAGGTGTTTTGGTTCCGCGAAAGCGCCGCGCATCTGCTCGTCGTGAGGCCAGCAAGGCGGGGCCGGGGACACGGCCCGGGAGGCGCCCGCCACCAGGGGAAACAGAAGAGGCAGGTCCGCGCGCCGCGTCCGATCGGGGCGCGGGCGCGGCGGAGGAGCCGAGGGCCCGACATCGCAGGAGGAAGGGGGAAGGCCAGGAGGGCACCCCTGCACGGGGGGGGGAGGGATGTCCATCGAGGGATGTGAATCGGAGGAGGAGTGATATTCATCGAGGGAGGAGGAGGAGGAGGAGGAGGAGGAGGAGGAGGAGGAGGAGGAGGAGGAGGAGGAGGAGGAGAGGAAAGATATTCATCGAGGGCCGGGATATCAATCGAGGGGTGGGGTATCACAGGCGTGGCCTCTCCGGGTGGGGAATTCATCGGCAGGGTGGGCGGCCAACCTTCCGACGGAGCTTGCACATCCCCCCCTCCTCCACCTCCTCCTCCTCCTCCTCCTCGCTCGCCGTCTCCTCCTGCTCCTCCTCCTCCTCCTCCTCCAACCCCCCCTGGCCCCTCCACCCGTTTCGACAGCACGTGTCCCACCCAGCCCCCCAGCGGATCCGAGGGGGGGGTGTTTCGAAAACGATGTGCGTGACGTATGCGGGCGGTGGAACGGGGCCTTCAGTGGAGCTCCCTGTGGAGCCGCGAAAGGTGTAAGGGGTGTGCCGCAATGAGTGTGCGTGACGCCTGCAGGCCGTGCAGGGAGGATGGGACGAGAAAGAAAGGCAGGAGGAAACCGGGGACCGTCTCTTCAAAACGAGGACCCAACACCACAGGATGGTTGGAAAAATAAACATAATCCAACATTGCTCCAAAAAGGCTGAACCAAGTAAGAGCAAATCGTCCCCATGCTATTGTTTGACCAATTCTGAATATTCCTCCTGTAGAGGGGCAGGCCCGACTTAAGGTCATGGCCGTTCTGGGCCCAGCATGACAAATACGCCTGTACACCCACCTGGCCGGAGTGCAGAGGGGGTGCACACCATCCTGGGACCCAGGGTGGCCCTGACCATACGTGGTGGCGCATAGTTGCCTTCTGCTGGATACTCTGGGTGGGATATGAATCGAGGGGTGGACGACTACCCTTCCGACGGAGCTTACCCATCCCCCCCCCTCCTCCACCTCCTCCTCCTTCTCCTCCTCCTCCTCCTCCAGCTCCTCCTCCTTCTCCCCCTCCTCCTCCTCCTCCTCCTCCTCCTCCTCCTCCTCCTCCTCCTCCTCCTCCTCCTCCTCCTCCTCCTCCTCCTCCTCCCTCCTCCTCCTCCTCCTCCGCCCCTCCTCCTCCTCCTCCTCCTCTCTTCTCCTCTCCTCCTCTCTCCTCCTCTCTCCTCCTCTCTCCTCCTCTCTCTCCTCCTCTCTCCTGCTCTCTCCTCCTCTCTCCTCCTCTCTCCTCCTCTCTTCTCCTCTCTCCGCCTCTCTCTCCTCCTCTCTCTTCTCCTCTCTCCTCCTCTCTCCTCTCTGCTCCTCCTCTCTGCTCCTCTCTCTCCTCTCTCCTCTGCTCTCCTCCTCCTCCTCCTCCTCCTCCTCCTCCCTCCTCCTCCTCCTCCTCCTCCTCCTCCTCCCTCTCCTCCAACCCCCCTCCACCCGTGCCGACAGCACGTGCCCACCCCACCCCAGCCCCGTCAAGGGGGGGCGGTGATTCCCCCATCCAGAGTAGCCCGGTGACGTGAAAAGGCCAGCCACACCCAAAGGCCAAGATCGCACCTGCAGTGCAACGTCACGCTCCGTCCGCCTCAGGCGAGTCCAGCATCAGGCGGTCATTCTCTATGCGCAATCTCTCCGCAATCTTGGAATAGTCGCCGTCGGTCTCTCGGTACAAGCGCCGGTGCTTCTTCTCGCTCACCACCAGCTCCAGCGAGGACTGGGTCTCCCCGTTGAACGCCGACACGTTCAAGACGCGGCCATCCGTGGCCATCTCGATCAAATAGTAGACCTGGCCGATGGTCTTGCCCTCCTTCAGGACAAACTTCGGGTCCTGCCCGCTGCCTGAGGGAGACGATGGCCCTGCACCACCGGCACCGTCCTCCGCACAAGGCGGTATCTGCCTGAGGACGCTGGCCTCGCTCCTCACGCGAGGAAGCCGGGTGATGACTGGGTAGGAGGAGCAGTTCCGGAGCAGCGCCTCGCTTTTCTGGTGATCCGACTCCCACTTCTTGGCGCTGTACACGGGCTGCGCCTTCTGGATGGCCTTCAGCAACCTCTGGTTCTCGAGGGTGATTCGGGTCAGCTCCTGCTTGCGGCCGTTCCTGTTCAGCGTCACAGGTCCCGAGGAGCTCTTCGCCGACAGCTTCTCCGAGCGGGGCGCATTGGCAAAGACGCTGGGCTGCCGCATGATCTCCGACATCTTGCCAAGCAGCACCTTGTTCTCCCTGTCTATCTCCATGTACCGATCCTCCAGCAGGCGTTCCTTCTTCAGGTTGTGGCGCAAATGCTCAAGCTGATGCGCCACTGGAGGGGCCCTGTCGATAGCCGGCTTGATGCCCTCAACTGCGGCGCGGTGCAGGTCGTGGTTCCTCCGCATCACCTTCTGGGCACACCGCTTGCTCCCCACCTGAACGATCGTCAGAAAAAAGGTTCTTACGCGAGATGGCATGCCGACCTTGCGCCGCAGCTGCCGCGGGCAGCCAGCGCGGCACGCAGCATTGCACGCGAGGGCGCTCACGCACGACCGTACGCGGGCCGCTTGCGCGCGAAGGTCGGCACAGTCGAACCCGTTCTCTGGAGCCACTCGCCTGCAGGGAGCCGACCCTGCCTCGGTCCGCCATCGCCCCTGGGGTGAGCTCGGAGGCAACTACTGGGAGGTCTTCGCCGGAAGGACCGAGAAATATTAAGCCCCGTTGGGGGGCTGCTACGCTGGAGTGGGCCTCGGATTGAGCGGGATCAAGCCAAATCAAGCGGGATCAAACGGGACTAAGCCGGAGCAGGCGGGATTGAGCCGGATTTCGGACCAGGGCTAAATCTAGAGGAACAAAAAGTGACATTAACATAAAAAACTCTGAGGTCCGCGCGGGTTTCTCGGATCGGCGCTGGACCCCCCTCCCTGGCGTGCGGAGCGCGCCAGGGGCGGCGCCGGAGGCGCCGCCGGGGGGCGCCAGCGCCGATCCGAGAAATCCGCTCGGACCTCTGAGTTTTTATGTTTATGTCGCTTCTTGTTCCCCTAAACTCAGAACTTAACCTCCCAGGAGTTGCATCCGCAGGTGCGTGGCCTGGGCCGCGGCTTCGCCGCTGCCCTGCAGCCCCGCCTCGCCCCCCGGGCGCGCTGTGCAGCGCGGATAGATCGCCGCGGCGGGGCCCCCAACGGGGGGGCCTCGCGGCTGCTCGAGCCGGCGACGCGGCGGCGGCGGAGCCGCGGGAGGGCCGGGCAGGCTCGCGCCGCGACGGCCTGCGCGCGCGACCCCGTGCAGGGGGGGAGGGAGGAGGGGGGGGGAGGAGGGAGAGAGGGGGAGGGAGGGTTGGAGAAAGGGGGGCGATGGGGGGGAGGGGGGAGGGAGAGAGGGAGGGAGGGAGCGGGGGAGGGGATCGTTCCGTCCGGAACGGCCGCTGCTCCCCAAGAGGCAGATCGGTCGATGTCTCGGCCGACTCTGGCCTGGCGGCGGCGTTCCGCCCGGAACTCCTGTGCCGGGCTCGGTGTCTCGTCGTCGCGACAGGAGCCTAGCATGATCTTCTTCAGAATCCGACGCTGCGCGGCGTCGGCCTTCTGAGCCCCTCCAGGCCACCACTCCGTCCAGCTCCGCGTCGCCGCGTTCTCGGCAAGCTGGGCCCAGGCACCACTCCGTCCAGGAGGCAGACATTCGAACTGCCGCGTTCTCGGCAAGCTGGGTAGGCACACGACACGGAACGCCCGACTCTCAGCACGCTTGCTCTAGGGGTGGATGGGGAGCAGAGCCTCGCGGGGGGCTGGTGGCAGCCGAGCCTCGCCGGTAGCCGCTCTGACTCGAATCCTCTCCACGGTCTGCAAGCAGGCTGAGAGCCAAACTTAACGAGGCGGGGATACGCCCGACATCCACCACTCGGTGGAGTGAAAGCGACGCGAAAGCATGGCTGCAGTGACCAGGGAACATGCCAGCAAGTCTGCCCGAATCATGGGCCGCTTCCAAATGAAAAAGCGCATCGCCTGCAGAAATGTGGCTCGCCACTTGGAAGCGGGCGAGGAAACTAAACTGGTTGGGGCCCCAGAAGATCGGTGAGGAAACGGGGGTTGAAGGTTAATCCGCTCAGCATCGGCCCCTCGACCCCTCCCGCGGCCCACCTGGTGCAATCTTTTCCCAGGGCCCGGGAACGGCCCCCCGAGAACGGCCCGGGAACGGGGCCCAGGAACGGCCCCCCGAGGCCGAAACAGGCGCCCCAGGCCCACCCAGCCCCTCGACCCTCTCCCCAGCACCTCGAACCCTGGCGGCGGGGGGGGGGAGCTCGCCAGCTTCAGGAAGGTTGCGTTCGTGGCCGCCGCGCACGCGCGCGCCATCATGGTCTTGCCCGTCCCCGGGGGGCCGTGCATCAGCACGCCTGCGGGTGCGTCGCCCACCACTTGGAGATCCTCCTGCCTGCTCCTGCCTGCTGCTGCCGCTCGTGCTGCATCTGCCTCTGCCTACTCCTCCTGTCAGAAGAAGAACAATCATGATACACAACCGGCATACAAGCTTAGGTCGGCCACGTCATCCTACAGGCGTCTGTTCGAAGACATGTGTTCAACAATAGCCACAACTATTCAAACATAATCCAAAGTCAGAGTGAGGGGGCCGAACGGACATTCATTGTCCCTGCGTGCGCGGCTGGATAAGGGATTCGTGGTGAAAGTTATGTTTGTGGCGTTAGTATTGTTGGTGTTGTGCTTGTTGTTAGTGTTGTTGTTATTGTTGTTGATGTTGTTGTTGGTGTTGTTGGTGCTGTTGGTGTTGTTGAACATTATTTCTTCTTAAGAATAATTATTGTTGGGACCCCTGGTGCGCGACCCCCCCGCCGCGCCTAGGCCGCAGCCACATTTTCATCATTTTCGTGAGGAAGTCTCAGGCAAAACGATTGGTACCGGATCCGGTTTTTTGTTGACGCTCGTTTTCCCTTGCAAAAAACAATAGAAAATGAAAATTCTTGTTCTTAGTTGATCAAATTGCAAGAATCCCTTGCAAAAAATAAGGTAAAGTGGACATTCGTGCGCGCAAGACGAAATCCTTCCAAAACCTTAGGTTTCGTAACGATTTTAACATAAAAACATCAAAAACCCAATGGTTTTTTAAGAAAAAATTGTCAAAATGTCCTTCCGCGCGCGCTGTCCGAATCCCACAAAACCAATGGTTTTTCAACATTTATGTTACATGAGCTCGCGCGAGCTACTTTTTCTTGTTCTAACATAATCAAATTTCAATAATCCCTTGCAAAAAATAAGGTAAAGTGGACATTCGCGCGCGCAAGACGAAATCCTTCCAGAACCTTAGGTTTCGTAACGATTTCAACATAAAAACATCAAAAAGCCAATGGTTTTTCAAAAAAAAATGTCCAAATTTCATCCCGCGCGCGCTGTCCGACTCCCACAAAACCAATGGTTTTTCAACATTTATGTTACATAAGCTCGCGCGAGCTACTTTTTCTTGTTCTTACATAATCAAATTTCAACATCCCTTGCAAAAAAAAAGTAAAGTGGACATTCGCGCGCGCAAGACCAACAAAAAACACGACGATCTCAGGAACTTGCCCCAAAAATGTGGCCAACTCCGCTCTCTCTGTCTCTCTCTCTGTCTGCTCTCTGTCTCTCTCTGTCTGTCTGTCTGTGTCATGTATTGTATGTCACAATTGCAGGATGCTGGGCACACGCGCGCCCCGAATAAGTGACCAAGTTCTGTGGGTGTGTACCCCACGCCAGTGTAGTAGCCACGGTCGTCCGCACGCCACGAAGTGAAGTGTCCCAACGTCATAGGGCGGGAAGCTGGGTTTGGGTGGTCGCGAAGAGTCGTTTGGATATTTGGTAGAGCTTGAACTGCCCCCCCACGAAGTGGGGGTATTGTCTCGCGTCGCATGAAAACCCTGGCACTGGTGAGAACACTGAGCGTTCGGGTAAAATGATTATGGTTGTTGTTGTTGTTGGTGGTGTTGGTGTTGTTGTTGTTGTTGTTGTTCTTCTTCTTCTTCTTGTTGTTGTTGTTGTTGTTGTTGTTGTTGTTGTTGTCGTCCTTCCCGCGACCCACCCCGCGACCCACCCCGCGACCCACCCGCGAACCACCCTGCGACCCACCCGCGACCCATCCGCGACCCACCCGCGACCCACTCCGCGACCCACCCGCGACGCAACCCGCGACCCACCCGCGTCCCACCCGCGACCAACCCCGCAACCCACCCGCGACCGACCCCGCGACCCACCATCAAGGGAGGAAAAACCACCCGGACCCGACAATTGACGTTCACTAAATGGCCCTGGGCGTTTACTAAACGGCCCTGCCCTGTTCGATTCATTGTGGGCGTTTACTAAACGGCTTCGCTTGTCGAGGTGACTATTATGGGATGAATGTTTTGCCCTCTGCACCCACGACCCACCCGTGATCCAACAGCGACCTACCCGCGACCCACCTGCGACCCATTTGCGACCCACCCGCGACCTACCTGCATTGGTTTCACGAAAAATCGGCGCCTGCGTCGGGTTCGTTGTATGATTTGAAAGGTTGGCGCCTGTGGCGGGCTTCTCCAGAGTCTCGCAAACTGCCGACGCCCCCACCGCCCCGTCACTCTTATCCGCATCTGCGGGGTGCTACGTACGGGAAAAATCGTCTCCTGACTATGTTTGGACAACTTCTGTACATTCCTCCTGTAGAGGGACATGGCCGACTGAAATACATGCACAAATTGTCGAAGCGCCGCGTGGAGTTCTTGGATCTGCGCTGGACCCCCCTTTCCCGGCGCGCATGAGGAGCCAGGGGCGGCGCTGAAGGCGCTGCCAGGGGGGTGCAGCGCAGAGCCAGGGAACCCAGGAGGACCTTCGTGCGACTCTTCATGTTCGGGTCGCGTCTCTGCTTTCTGCTCCTGACTTCCGCCCCCTAGCTTCTCCTCCAGGCGGGCGGCTCCCTTCGGGGGCTGGATGCCGATGTTCTCGAAGCGCTCCTGGGCGGCGGGGAAGGGAGGAGTCGCTCCAGTGTCGCATGGGCTCGCCGGAAGCTCAGAGACCGCTATCGCTCATCAAAAGGGCACTGGGTATAAGAAGTAAGCGAACTCTGGATCGCGGAATAATCGCCCCCCCCAGGAGTGCCCAGGGAGGTTGGCCGCGGCGCGTCCGCGGGGGTGCCTGGGGGGGGTCTGGGGTTCTTTCCCTGCCCCGAGAGGCGCGGGGGTGGTGCCAGGGGGGGGGCATGGCCGCGCCGCGTTTTCACGTTTGTCACCCCCCGGTTGGTCAATGAGAAGTTTGGAGTAGCTGACGGGCGCCTGGCGAGCCTCCCCAGCCTCCCGAGACCGACGGGCAGCCTCCTCCCCCTCTTCCTCTCCCTCCTCCTCCTCCTCCTCCACCTCCTCCTCCTCCTCCTCCTTCTCCTCCCCCTCCTCTCTCCTCCTCTCTCCTCCTCCTTCTCCCACTCCTCCACCTCTTCCTCCTCCTCCTCCTCCTTCTCTCTCCTCCTCTTTCTCCCCCTCCTCCTCTTCTTCCTCCTCCTCCCCCTCCTCCCCGACATCCACCCCCCTCGGTTTAAAGGCTCCAGTTTCCTTCTTTTAGTGAACCGACATTATCATTATCATTCTCCCCCTCCTCCTTCTGCTCCTCCTCTCTCCTCCTCCTCCTCCGCCTCCACCTCCTCCTCCTCCGCCTCCTCCTACCCCTCGTCGTAGCCCGCCGCATCCGACTCCAACATTCCAAGGCACCGACGCCTGAAGTTCCAGTGCAGGGACGCAGCGTTTCCAGGGTACGAACTTCCGGGTCTCCCGGGTTCAGCTCCGCGTTTCACAGGTTGGCGGCGGCTTCCGTTTCCCGGGTTGGGCGGAGTTTTCCTGGATTGGTTGTTCTACCAGTATGCGAGCAGTGGGGTTGACAACCCACTGCGAGCAACAATGAATTGCACCACGTAGGTAGAACCTCCGAGAATGGACCACACAGATGGCTCCACATGTATTGCACATCAGAGACTGCTGAACATAAATGTGTGTATAGAGTAGTGCGTGTATATATATATATATGCATACATAAACGCATCTACCTACACATATATGTATGCACATTGATAAATGTATATCCTTCAGTCTGCCCTCTACCTCTCTCCCCCTTCCAGTGTCAATGGCTTGTTCGACAGACTCTGCGTTGCACGCCTGCCCCGTGACACCCTCTGCCTGGCCGAGGCGCTCTCGCAGTACTAGAAGGCTCCTTGTGGGTCATTGGCAGCACAATGGCCTGGGCGCGTGCGCACAGACATGCAGCACGGCGCGGAGGGTGAGATTGAACCATGTGCTCTCCTGGCACGGTCTGTCCTCCTCCTGCCCATCACGGTGTGCGTGGTCCTGCTGCTGCTCCCCCACCACATCCTGGTGATGCACCTCCTCTCCTCCTCCTCGTCATCATCCATCCTCTGGCATTCCCCCTCCTTATCGGACCTCCGTGCGAGGTGTGTGCGTAACTACGCAGTGTAATGCCGCACAGGAATCTCACGCGACAACAGACGTATACGTTGACACCGCGAATGTATACAAGAAGCGTGAGCAGAACGCTGCCGTCAAGCGCCGATTCTTCTGCTCCTCCGCCTCGTCCTCATGTCTCCTCGGCACCCTCTTCCTCCGCCTCCTGGCCGCCTCCTCATTCTGCTCGTCGTCTTCCTCCTCGTCCTCGGTCTCCGCGTCCTTCTCGTCACCACGATCCTCCTTCCCATACCGACACCCCTGCTGCCCATGCGGCGGTTCCCTCCCCGCCCGCCCCCACTGAGTCTGAGAGCTCCGCTCCGACCCAGCACACCCAAAAACCTGCGCATGGCCCCTCTGGCCGCGGATCCCTCCCCCTTGCACCAAATAGCACACGGTGAGGGCCTTGGATAAGGACACCTCAGATCAGGAATCGGGGTCTGGAAGCTGGCAGAATGCCAAGATGGGCCTGACCATGGAAATCATCGCCCCCCTCACCAGGTGAGGAATCCTCCAGGGTCTGGAGCCTCCTGGGCACATTGCTTGACCAACGCCCCCACCGTAGCTGGTTAAGGTGTGGCCAGTTCGCCCCTTGTGCCTATCCGCTGCCTCAAATGTTTTTGATGCTGGAGCGATGCTTGAGCACACGCGGGCCGACGCCGCACCGCCTCCACAAGACGGACCTCATGCGCTGATAGTGCGAGAGGCGGGAGCCTGAAACGAAGATGCCCAGCTCAGAAATAGTGCAGGGCGGAACTTGCCCTGGAGCTTGGCATGCCACATCTCATAGAGGTTCTCACATGACTGGGCGGGGGACGCTCCAGAAATTCCAGGGCGTCGCGCTTCGTGTGGACAGTTCCTGCACATGATTGCTGATGGGTAGAAAACAATTGTTTCTTTGGGAATGGCTTGATCCTGCTTGCTTGCTACTGTGTGTTTGATGTTACTCAGGTGCTACTGTTTGCTTGCATGTACTTTCCCGATGCTGCCCTTAAGGTTACCCACTGGTCACTGGTGCACATGTTGGTCCGTACTGTAGGTGCCCTTGCTCGCGTGCCACGTCTTGATTGCTGATTGGAATGGCAAACTGCGGCTCTGCCTCTCTGACTACTTGTTTTTGTTGCGCTCTCTCTCACTCTCTCTGTCTCCCTCCGCACAACCAGACCTGAAAATCGGGTCATGGACACAACACGAACACATCGCACTCACGTTCGCAACATGACACCCTCACCTCTCGTACTCCCTGCCAACGTAACTAAACGGCTCCACTCCCAAGGCTGCGGACTTTCATAAACCACTCCACTGGCACCTATGATCACCGCAACCATGGGTCGACACATTCTTTGCGTTCTGTTCCGTTGGATTCCGCAGCAAATCCCATGGAATCTGGACTTTGCGCATGTCGGGCCTTACTCGCACGCCTCTTGAGCCCACGGCTGTTGGAACCGGCGGCGGAGGGTGGGGAAACTCCACAAGAGTGAACCTGCCTGGCCCGAGGAAAACAGAACGGCAGCCTCCTGAGGGAACCGGGCCCCGAGCCAGGGGGCCCTCCCTGACGCCAACTCTCCATCCCGAATCGCCTAATACTTCCCGGCCCCGGGACTCCGGCAGGCCCCCCATCGAGCCCAGGAGCGGTGGATCTCCGCAGGGCCCGCCTTCCCCCCAAGACCCGCCCGCTCCATGGCGAGGCAACTCCTGGCGGACGGGGCCCTGGCGCTCCGGGGCCACAGACCATGGACGTCGATGGCCTAGGGGATCGGCGCCCCCGAGAAGAAAGTACGGCTGCGGATCGAAACAAACAGGCACGAATCGCTCTCCAAGGGTGCCTCACGTCGCGCATCGCGCTGCGCGGAGCGCGAAGCACTTCAGGCTCTCGCCCTCGCGCCGACCCCTAGGAAGAAGAGGCGGATGAGGTGGAACTGGAGCCGAATGGCGAAGCGCGAACAACTCCGCGCCCTCGCCCTCGGGGGCGCCCTTGTTTTCTCCAAGGGAAGCTTCGAAATCCTGGTCAGCAATGTCCCCGTCTAGGGTCTGGAAGGCTCTGAGAACTTGAGCAGGGACCGACCGTCCTGGTATTTCTGTAGGCCTATACCACGAACTGCTCTTAGAACCCAAAAACGTTGTAAGAACAACATTATTGTCATAGAACGTCAGCCTTTCGTGTTGCAACAAGACTGTCCCAGCCAGAAATGCTCTCAGAACATTTCGTTGGAACCACCAAAAAGGTTCTCGGTAAACATTCTTGGGTAGGCCTACAGGCCAGCCAAGATGCTTCGCCGCTGCTTGAAGAACATCCCTCCCCCCTGCCCCGAATTTCCGCCCGGCGCGGCCGCTCCCGGCGGAGGCGCACCAGCCTGCTTATAGCGAGCCCGGGGCCGGCCCCCCTCACGGGCCCTAGCTCTCGTCCGAGTCGGAGGACGCCTGCTGCGCAGGCGGCGGACCTGCAGGCTCCCGCGCGGGGGCGGGGGGCGATCGAGAAGTCTGGCTCGAGGAGACCATGCACTCGACCATGGACGTCGGTCGGGCATGTCCTCCTACAGGGAGATCTTGGACGAACAAAACCACTCTCAAACAAAAATCAGACATAGCCAAAACATGATCAACAACATCTTCTCCAGACTATTGCTGGACTATTTTTGAGTCTTCCTCCTGTAGAGGGACAGGCCCGACTTGACCATGGACCCCTGGTTGCCCGTGTGCGCCGGGTGGTCTTCCAGCGGCCTTCGGCGGTTTCCCCGCGGCCTCTGGCGGCTTTCCCGCGACCTTTGGCGGTTGCCCCGGCCTTCGGCGGTTTTCCCGCAGACTTCGGCGGTTTTCCCGCGGTCTTCGGCGGGTTCCCGCCGTCTGCGGCGGTTTCCCGCGGTCTTCGGCGTGGAAGCCTGATGCTTGCGTGGCACAAGGAGGTCGATGATCGAGCACCTAGAGGAGCTGATACAGTGGAGGCCAGTCCACAAGATACCTTTAACAAGAAACCGAGCCCTTTTGACCCCAGGACGTCCATCGATTGTTGGGGTGGGGACGTCGCGCTCTTCACTGCAAAACCGTCGAGAAATCAAAGGCACCCTGGAGGCAAGCAGGGTGCTTCTTGCCATTGGTCCCCGCTGAGGAGGAGGAGGAGGAGGAGGAGGAGGAGGAGGAGGAGGAGGAGGAGGAGGAGGAGGAGGAGGAGGAGGAGGAGGGGGAGGGGGAGGAGGAGGGAGGAGGGGGGAGGAGGAGGAGGAGGAGGAGGAGGAGGAGGAGGAGGAGGAGAAGGAGGAGGAGGACGAGGCGGAGGAGGAGGAGGAGGACGAGGAGGAATAGTTTGGCCTCCATGTGCCAGCTGGGAAGGTTCAATCGTGGGCACGGCGGGGCCCGGACCAGGGCACTCTGGCCAGAGGGCGCACCCCTGGCCAGGGTCCAGTCTGGGGGTCGACGTGGCAGGGATCGGAGGGAGCGCGGTGGGAAAATGGCAGCGGAGGAGGGAAGAAGGGAGGAGAAGAGTGTGGAACGGGAGGCGGAGAAGAACCAAGCACAGGCGAGCGAACAAACAACATGGACAGCGAGGGATGGGACAAACGGAAACGCACGTGTGGGCGCGCCAAAGCCTGGGACGGGAGGAAACGGAGGAGGAGTCTACCTTGGAAGCACAAGAAGAATTGAGGTACTTCCTTTTTTTTCAAGCTGGGCGAGTCGCGAGGCTGCCGACGGAAGCAGAGCCCCAACAGAGAGCAGTGTGGGGTGCCGCCCTTCTGACAAAGCTCGCGCCTGGAGAGCCGGGAGGAGCTATCGAGAGTGCGGAAGCAGAGGAGCCCCAGGGGTGCGATTGGAGCAGAAGAGTGCCGAAACAAGAGGGGCGACGATCGCTCGGCATCAGCACAGCTGGAAGAAGTGGAAGTTGGAAAGTCGATGAGAGTGAAAGTGACCAGGGCTGGAACAACTGGCAGTGGGTGAGGCGAGCCCGAAACAGTAGGAAGGCGGTCGCCAGGGCTGGACAAACATAACGGGAAACTGACCAGGGCTGGAAAGAGTGGCAAGGCTGGTCCCGGTCTCTTTGGCCGGCTCCCACGTAAACCTTCGGAGGCGCACGCGGATTTGTTGGGTCGACGTTAGATCGGGCCTGTCCCCCTACAGGGATTTTGGACGAAATATTTTGTTTTAAAAAATGCCCCAACAATTCACTAACATATTTTCCAATACCTTTTTTTACCATATTTTTCATATTCTTCCTGAAGGGGGACAGGCCCGACTTAACGCTGAACCTCTATCTCTGGCGCGCAGAGCAGGCCGGAGGCGGCGGAAGGGGCGCCGCCAGGGGGGGTCCAGCGCCGACCCAAGAGAAAACCGCGCGGACCCCCCGACAGATCCGGTCTGCACAGTTGGGGCGTCGACCCAGGGAAGGATCAATAAGGAACGAGACCCCCTTGTCCATACCTTAAACTTCGACTCCCCATCGGGCGTCGACCCAAGGAACGATCAAGAAGGAACGAGGCCCCCTTGTCCACACGTTAAAACTCCGACTCCCCACCGAAGACCGCAGGGAAACCCTGAGGCAGACTGTAAACCAACTGAGGAGCACGGACCTTGCTCCAAACGAAAACGGCTCATTCTTCAGCGCAGCGCAGCGCAACGATCAATAAGGAACTAGGCCCCCTTGTCCATACGTTGAACTCCGACTCCCACCGAAGGAAACCCTGAGGCAAACTGTAAAACAACTGAGGAGCACGGAGCTTACTCCAAACGAAAAGTTGGATGCTCGTTCTGGGGACCTTCCTGGAGCCATTCGCTCCACTCGTGCGTCGAAGCTGCGTCGAACGTCAGTCGATGTGGGTCGACCCTGAGTCGAACATGAGTCGAACCTGAGTCGAACCTGAGTCGAACTTGAGTCGAACTTGAGTCGAACTTGAGTCGAACTGGGGTCGAACAGATCCGTTAGGTGGGCGCCAGGAAGGTCCCCGAAACGAGCATCGAAGAAAAGGGTTCAGTCTTCAGCGCCCCGACGGTGCTGCCCCACGCCTTCGGGGGCCAGCGCGCCGGGCAGGTTCGAGAGGTCCGCGCCGCCGTAGCGCGCCCGGAGCTTCTCGTTGAGCTCGTCCTCCTCTGCAGCAGGCCAGGGGGACACGCCAAAGGGACCCTGGGGCACACACACACACACACACACGCACGCACAGAAAGACACACACGAATCCCAGGATCCCCCACGTTTTCCCATATTGTCTGGGTTATCGTCTTCCCCCCTGCTTCCCAAATTTTAAAATATTGTCAGAGGAGTCGACGATTCATTGTGGCTGTGTGTTTTTCCCCTCCTGAGCGTAAGACTCAAGAATTTTGGGGGCTCGAGTTAGCCTCGACGTGGTCGAGAGAAACCTGGCGGCACCCAAGCTGAGCTTGGAGAGGCGAGCTCCCGCTGCACGTGCCTCACGGAGGCCAGACGCCAACACTGGTGCCGTGACATCCACTCGCGAGTCCCAGCACGCCAGCAGACGTGTCTCTCTCACTTCCCGAGCAGAAAGAGGAGGCCCCGCGCGGGAACGACACGGGGAGAGAGCGGCACCAGGACAAGAATGCCCAGACTCGAGTCTACGAATCGGATCGGAGATCGAAACGAATCAGGACGTCGGAATTCGGCAGCCAAGTCGGGAGAATTCGAATCGGCGGAGCTCAGCTAACTAACGAGGACTCCATTGAGAAACCGGAATCAAAATCGGAATCCGAGGTCGAATCGAGTCAGAATCTGAATCGATCGAAATCGACCCGAATCGAATCGGAGGAGTCGAAATGAGCGAGTCATGCCGTCAGCAGCAGGGGCGGCCGGGGGCGCGAATGAACAAACGACGACCTCTGTGGACAGCCTGAGTGGGAGTGGGTGAGACAAGTGTGTGTGTGTGCGTGTATGACTGAGACAAGTGTGGGTGAGGCCACGGCGCAAACGGCCAACGCAGCACGCGCAGCGGAGACACGGACGGGGACGCCGGGGGTGAAGGGAGAGGGAGTGCACGGCGAGGGGGAGGGGGAGATGGGCACCACATGCGGCAACTTATGGGAGCCTCCCATACCACCTTGCTGGCTCTTGCGGACCGACGACCGTCGACGCCAGTCGACGTGGAAGCGACGCTGAATCGTCGTCAGCCGACGCCAGATCGGCGCTAGCCCATCGATTACCGGGGGGGCAAATCGACGCCAGCGCGCTCGGCCCCCACGATGCGTACGGAAGGAGTGATAGGGGCCCAAGGACACACACGTAAAGACACACATATAAAAGGATGTCCCATCTTGTTCCATACCTTCTAGACTTGTGTCTTCCCACCCACTTCCCAGATGTTCCCATACTTTCTGGGGAATCGACGATTCACTGTGTCTGTGTGTCTTATCCCCTCCGGAAGGAGGGGGGGCGGGAGCGGGGGCGGGGGCGGGGCGGGGCGGGCGGGCTCTGCCGCAGAGGGGTCCTTGCCCGCGAAGAGCCTGGCGACCTCTCAAACCGAGGGGGGGCGCGCCCGACGGGGCGAGCGACCGCGGCGCGCGGCGAGCGAGCGATCGCGGGGCTAGGCTCTGCCTCGCGCCCCCCGCGACGGGGAACGAGGCCTCCCCGTCCTCCCTCTCTCCTCCGCTCTCTTCCGGCATGCCCTCGCTTCCCCTCGCCACCCCTCTCCGTGGGACGGATGGAGCAAGGGCCGGCCGTCCCGGCATTACTGCAGGCCTACCAGGGCATGTTCTCAGAACCCTGAACTGTTCCGAGGGCAGGAACAGTTCTTTTAGACCATAGACCCCAAGTGTTTAGACAAGGCAGTCCCAGCCAGAAATGCTCTAAGAACACTTCGCGCAGACCACAAAAGGTTATTAGAACAATCTTCGGTGGCCCGATGGGCGAGCCAGGACGCTTCGCCACTGCCCGAGCAGGTGCTGCACCAGGAGCCCGCCTGCAGAACTAGAGGCCTCGAGACTTAGGGGGCGACGGGCCGTATGAGAGAAACTGATCCGCCGTCGGGGACGCGTGCCCCCCGTGCGGCTGCAAAATCTATACTGAAGGGGCCCAGGGACACACAAATAAATACACACAGACAACAGGATTCTCCATAGTTTCCCATGTTTTCAAGGTTTTCGTCTTCCACCCCAATTCCTATTTTTTCCTATATTTTCCTGGCTGACTATACACCCCTTCGGTGCCAAGAAGGGGGTAGAAACTCTGCAGCCGCCCGGGGGGCAGGCGTCCCCGACGGCGGAAAGGCGTATGTGCCACCGTCCTTCGCCCCCCTGAAAGGAGGGACGATGCGGGGTCAGGGATGGACGAAGACCCGGCTGGCACACGCATCCAAGTCAGGCGGGGACGTGTCGGGCACCGAGGGCTCCCACAACCGGCTGCGCGGGGGCGAGGATCGAGACTGTGTGCCCGAGAGCTCGGAAGCACCCGGGGGGGGATCGCGACGCGAGCGTGGCTCCACTGACACGCGCCACTGCTGACAACCGACTCCATTCCAGCTGACCACGATTGTCTTCTCGTCCCTCCTCCTGCCCCTTTCCTCCCCTCCTCTTTTCAAGGGGCCCAAGGACACACACAAATAAATACACACAAGTAACGAGATTCCCGTATGTTCCTATATGTTCTTGTTTTTTGTCATCCCGCCCAATTCCCATATTTTCCTATACGTCTTTGGGGATCGACGATTACTTGTGTCTGTATGTTTTTTTTTTTCCCTCCTGATCTTTGCACTGCTTGCCTGTCGCTGCCGCGTTGGCTTACACAAGGCCCTTCAGCCGCGCCGCCAGACAAGGGAGCGCACGAGGTCCGCGCGCACCGGGGCCTTCCGGCCAGCTCTCCCCGCAGACCCGCGCGAGACGTCCTCTGAGAGTTCGTGTGAGACGTCCTCACATGCTGTGCCGACGATGAGCTGACGTTCCTCCTCGCTTCCCCGCTCCTGCCTTTTCCTTGCTTGGCCCACTTTCCATCGCCAGCCCGGCCTCTGATCCAAATAAAATGAAGGGGCCCTGAGACCCACACACACACACACGCGCGCACACACACATATAAATACACACTACTAACAAGATCCCCAATACTTTCCATATTTTCTGGGTTTTTGTCTTCCCCCCCCCTTGCCGTATTTTCCCATATCTTCCTGGGAGTCGACGATGAATTGCGTCTCTGTGTGTGTTATTCTTGCCTCCTGCCAAGAGCTGGGCGCTGCTTCGCCCGCGGCTAGCCAGAAGCCCCAGGTGACACCACGCGTGCACAGCACCGGGAATTCCGACGGAGGTCTATGATAACGTTAAATCGGGCGTGTCCCCCTACAGAGGGATCTTCGACGAAAAATTAAACACACTCAGAAAATACTCCAAAATTGTAAAAAAAAAAAAAAAATGTTTCAAAAAAGTCCCCATATTATATTTTGACTATTTTTAAGTATTCCCCTTGTAGAGGAACAGGCCCGACTGAATGATATCGCCGTGCTTCGGACATCGTGGAATCATACGTTGTACTCCACTTAGTGATACTGCGGTGTGTCATTGTCAGAGGACTTGAGAGGTGGAGTGAGCTGGCACGACATCGCGAAGCCATTGCCGACGGGCCGCGCGCAGACTTTCTTCAATCCTGAGCGCGCGGGCAAGAAGAAAGCCTCTCGTGTTCCGCCAGGTATGCACTGAGAGCATGGTGTTTTTGTGGTGGCAACCCAGCAAGGCCGACAAAGGAGGGCTCGCCTTAGGCGCGTCGCCGGACTTCTCTGGGTTGAGCTGCAGGTAGAATCGCCGCAGCCGATCCTCAACAGCATTCATAAGAGATTGCATTCGCTGGAGCAGTCCATCTGGAGAAGAAATACTGATTTCACTTCTGAGCCCCAATCTTATCGCACGGGAAAAGAATATGCGCACGTAGGAATAGAGAAAGGGTCACACGCTCTCTGGCAATGGTTTCCAGGAGGACGCCACACGCAACCCCTAGCGTGGTCCGAAAGGGGCGCCGCCGCTTGCGTGGCGTGGCAAGGCGTTCGAGATGTTGGCCGTTCCCCCTCCCCCTCTTCTTGCTCCCAGGCCATCGGCTTCCCCAACAAAAACACAAGATTGCGACATTATGGCCCAAGATGGAATACTGCCTCGACAACTGCCCAATACGGCCCCCAGGTTCGTTCCACGATAACCCAGGGTCTTCCGACGAACCTTTCGACAAGCCAGACTCATTGCAAGACTTGATCGCATCAGCTAACGCAATGTTTTATCATGTGTGCCTCAAACCTTACGACAGACAGAGCCTCAGAGAAAGCCATCGCTCAGGGATCCAAGAGGAGCACAACAACAGGGTTCAAACAGACCCAGAGACAGCCCCGAGAAGTCCCCGATAATCCTCCAGAAGGATCCCACGCAGCCATGAAATGCCCCATACATATATATATATATATATATACACATCTATAAACATATATATATATATGTATATATCAAAACTCGGCAGAGAGCCCAAGCGGTCCCAAGAAAATTCCAGGGCCCCAGGAAATCCTGAAAGAGGTCAAAGATAGTTGGCCCAATAATGGCGCACGAGTGCCTCAGAACGGCTCTGGCGCACTCCTCTCCCTCATCTTCATCGTAATCCTGCCCTCCTCGCCCCTATATGGCCCCCGCTGCTGGTCCACATGAACAGGGACCGACCGCACCAGCATTCCTGTAGGCCTATCATGACTATCTTCCAACCAACCGAAGCTTCAATCACAAAAGCAAGGTCCTTAGAACATAACCCCGATGTATCAAGTCAATTCAAACTCAGCCAGCAATGTTCTAAACGCATTTCGTGCAAAACAGAGAAGGCTCTTCGAACATTCTTGAGTGGGCCGATGGGCAAGTCAGGAAGCTTCGCAACTACTCGATCCACTGTACACCCATGTCGCGAAAACAGATTCTGGCGAATTTGCGCAAGCGTGCCGGATAAGAAAAAGAGCATTGGAGAGGGCACGATGGACAAGACAAGAAACCAATTGCGCCACATTGAATCCGTATTGCCGAAATCTCGAGCGTTACCAACCTGCCAACCTGGAGAGCATGAGTTGGAGATCGTTAGCTTTACCACAACAACTGTCGTCGAACCCCCGCCGCAAGCACGACTACCACAACCATTACCGCCATGACCACCGCTATGATCACCTCCAGGACCACCTCCATGATCACCATGCCGATCATTAACCCACACCACGCTAACCGCACCACACCAGTGACACACTTGCAGCCCGCGCCCATGCGTCATCTTACGAACGTGATGCTACCCATGAGTCCCCCTCTCGCCCGCGGAATTGCTGCAACTTGCCTCTTAAACGAGTGTTGTCGCTTACCTTCGTGGTACACCAGTCAGCTAGCTGTACACGTGCTCTACGAAAACCACATACGTTATGCTACAGCTCCTGGCAAAGTATTCAAGCAACTGGTCGCATGTGCCACCGCACAACCTGGCCGCCAACCATTCAATCGGAAATCCATACAACTGGGCAGCCAACTATGTCCATGTATTGTCGGCCACATGTTCTGCCCGATTTGGTTCACACGCTATGCTGGACGCCTTCGGGACACGCCGTACTGACAAATGCAGTTGTAATAACTGGCATAATCTGGGGTCACCAATTCAAATCAGGCCATGAGCCATCCACTACACGAGCCCCACCCCGCTGTGGGCCGGTCGGAGCCACTGCGTTTTGAGCTACAATCACAATACTACCATAAAGAACGCTACATGAGGAACGAATCCCCTTTGGGGCCCCCATGGCGCCTGGGTGAATGAGGAGTGCCAGATGACCAAAGAGGCCCTTTCGAAACTAAACTGATCCTTGCTTCAACGTCTTGCCTGTGCACAAGGAGCAGGTCCGTCCCGAAAATGCTGGACATGCCTCGAGCACGAGAGCCAAAGCTCGCGCCTCAGGGATCCGCCCACGCTAATGCACTTAATGTTAGGTCGGGCATGTCCTCCTACAGGGCGATCTTGGACGAACAATAAAAAAAGACTGAAAAATAACCAACAATATCAAAAAATGTTCAAAACTTCGTCTCCAGACTGTTTTTGAAGACTCCTCCTAATTATTGAGGGACAGGCCCGACTTAAACTTGATGATGGCTGCTCGTCCAGCGACGCGCGATGCCACCGTACTCGCGGCGCCGCCCCTGCGACACAGCACGCCTTGTCAGCTGACAGCGTGTCACTCTGCCTCTCGCGGGACTGGAGATGCTGATGCTAAGGGACCGGGGCGTACTCAGCGTGTTGCGCCGGAGCGCAGAAGGCAAGCGTATGCGGCGCGGCACAGTACGACAGGTTCGCGTGGTGTCGACTTCGGCGTTGATTTCTGACACCACGAGGATCGTTCAAACTTAAACGATCGGCCGTTTGCGAAACGTCCCAATCGTTCCACATCGAACGATTCTGGGTCGCCCGCGGCTTTCAACGTTGAACGCGGCTGGCGGGGTCGCCGCCGGTCGTAACGTAAGCAAACAATCCTGACCGTTCACAGCCCAACCACGCGTGAGCAAGACCGAAACAGGTAAGCGCCGTGCTCTCTACGCATACAGTCCCCCACATAATTCCAAATACCAGTCATGGGCGCCCCGTAACCCCAATGAAACTACTACCACTACCACCAATACCACAGCGAGAGAGACCACAAGAAAGACTACCGAAGGAGGTCGCGGGTCAATCTGTCCTCCAACGGCGCCGCAGCGGCAAGCCTCGCCGCGGCCGTGGCTGTGAGAAACCTCGCCGGCAAGTCGGGCACGCAGTCGCTCGCAGGGCTGCTGGCGCGGGCTTGTGCTGCGCCCTGCGAAGCGCGCGTTGCAGCAGCCATGACACACGCATGAAGACGAATCCCCCCATGAAGACGAATACCCCCAGCTCACCCGGCGGAGGTGGTTTAGGGCGTTTCCTCGCCCAACTTCCTGATCAAACTCCTCTGCCCTGGGGTCCGCCTACCCTCCATCAACCACCCACCTCCTCCCTCCCACCCAGGACGAGGAGGAGGAGGAGGAGGAAGAGGACCCCGTCCCCCCCCACCCCCCTCGCCGCCCCCCCCCCTTTCCACGCCTTCTCGTAACTCTTGGGTGGCATCGAGTCTGCCGTGCAGGCGATCTCGGGGACGGCAGGCGAGGGTTTTTTGTTAAAGGTTGCGCTCGGTGCGTCCAATTGGCACGTGAAGTTAGCTGCTGGTGTAGTCATCTTCTCCGCGTGCTTCAACTGTCAGCTCGCCACTTCCACGGTCGTCCCCAGTTCTAGGCATCATCTACGTGGGCTTCAGCGGCCAGCTCGCCACGTCCATGGGTGCAGCCTTTCGTATTGCATGGCTGGTGGTGGTTTGCCCTCCTACGTTTGCGGCACGCAGTGGCATGTGTCGGTATGCTCCTCAATGTCGG